GTTTTGACACACTGAAGGAGGTGACTCTGGCACCTGTTTTGGAATTGTTGAATTTCAATCAGTTAATCAAGGTAGGCTGATGCATCAAATGTGGGGATAGAAGCAGTGCTGAGCCTAGGAGGCCACCCCATGGCCTTTTTTTATGATAAGTTGAATGAGTCCAAGAGGAAATGTTGGATGCAACATAAGAAGTTCTATGCTATTGTGAGGGCTCTTGATCTTTGGACTCACTACTTACTAATGACTGAGTTCACTTGATTCACAGATCATGAGGCTTTGAAATTCTTGAACCGCTAGAGCTAACTGAAGGGCCGACACTAATCTTGGCTGGAGTTCCTAGCATTGTTCTAGTTCATGCTTAAGCATAAGACAAGAGCCAGAACCATGTAGCAGCGCACTGAGCGGTTATCACTTGCTAATCACTGTGATGCAAGAGCGAGCCATAGGCTTTGAGATTGTAAAAGAGCAGTATGGGACAGATAACAATTTCAAAAATATCTTGGAGTCTGCAAGACCGATGTTTACTTGTTTCACCAGAGTAAGTTGTGTATTTCTAGATGTTCATTGAGAGTGTTCTTTATTCATGAAAGCTGGAATGGAGGACATGTAGGACATTTTGGCTGAGATTAGTCTTTCGTACCCGTGAGAGGATAATTTTCTTGGCCCCGACTGACCAGAGATGTCGAGCAACACGTCAGACAATACCAGATTTTCATATGGCCAAAACTAGGGATAAAATGCAGAATTATACACCCTGTTACCAGTACCAGAGGCATAATGGGTGGAAGTTAACATGGATTTTGTGATGGGCCTTCCGGGGATTGTTAACGTAACAAAGATTTCGTTATGATTGTTGTGGATTGATTCTCGAAAATGACGTGTTTTGTACCCTGCTATCGCTTGTCGTCAATTCGTACTTCAAGGAGATTGTGATGCTACACGAGATACTCATGACCATCATTTTCGACAAGGATATCAGGTTTCTGAGTCACTTACGGAGGACCTTATGGGGGAAGCTAGACACTAAGCTTCAATTCAATTCAAAAGCTCACCCACAAACGGATGGTCAGAAGCAGGTTGTGAACAGGAGTCTTGGGAATCTTCTAAGATGCTTTGTGGGAAAGAAAGAGTATTAAGCTGTCGGATTTTACTCTAGGTCAAGCTGAGCTTGCTCACAACAATTTCGTGAGTCAGATTACAGGACACATCCTATTTGAGATTGTGTACGGGAGCAACCTGCTCACTCCACTTGAATTAGTACCTCTCCTATCGAAATTTGAGATTAGTGATGATGCCGAGAAATGAGTAGATTTAACGGCTCAACGAGGAGGTTGGGAAGGAGATCACTACTAAGCAGAACCGCAAATTCCAAACACGCGCAATTAAGGCCAGGAAGAAAGCGAATTCTTAAGAAGAGGACCTAATGTAGAGCTGACTAAAGAAAGAAAGATTTTCTATAGGAGTATTTGAAAAACTCAAGCCCAGAGCAGATACATTTCAGAATACCCCGAAAGCTGAATGACAACACTTATAAGATCGACCTATTAGGTTACTACAATGCGTTTACTGCGTTTAATGTCTAAGAGTTGACACTGTGCTATGACTGGCCAGAATCTTCAACAAATGAACTCCTCCCTACCATGGGAGATTGAGAGGGCTAGGGTCCAAATTGTGGCCCAACTGATTCGGTAAAGAGGTTGATGTGCTACGACGGGCCATAATCTTCGAGAAATGAATTCCAAGCTTTCCCAACATGGGAGATTGAGGGGGCTAGGGACTAAACTGTGGCCCAACTGATTCAGTAAAGAGGCTGCAGATTCCGCAGGGAGCTGAACCAGCCAAATCATGCTTGGGATTTAGAGCTGTTGCCGCCCATGGGGAGGAATCCCCTCCTAGTTATATTTTATTATATATACGTTGTTTTCATTTTTAGGGTTTAGCTTTTGCTTATTTCAGATTTCTAACCATCTGCGTTTCTCCCTTGCTAGGGCTATATCCGACGACTGACGATACTCCACTTGTATCCTGCTCTGAGGTAGTGGTTATCATGAAAAAAATCCCTCCATATTCCCCTTCCTAGCTCGCTGCCCTGTTCCCTTGATTGTCTCAGCTGCCTAACATATTCTTTGATAGCTTCCTCAAGATGGTTGATTTTATCCTTGAGAAGAGACTTTTTTAAAAAAGAGGCTTCAAGTTGTTGTTTCAAAGCCGCGAGTTCAGCTTCTGCGGTTTCCCAGCCTGAAATGGATTCTTTTGTAACTTTTGCATGCTGCTTTATCAGATCTTCTTTCGCAGCAACATCTTAAAGAGTAGCAGAAAGCTTCTCATTTAAACTCTTAACAGTTTCATGTCCTTCATTACCCTTAAACTCTTGACAGTTGCATGTCCTTCATCACCCTCATTAATCAATGGAACTTCTTGTGAGTGGGCATGTTTTTCAGAACTTTCATTGAAAAAGAGCCAAGAACCTCTTGCTCCTCTCTCATTGGATTGAGTGAAAAACTTTTCCCTGCCATCTTAACTTCAAACATCTTTTGGCCTGTAGTATCCTCTATCACACAAGCCTTCTCCATGAACATCACTTTTAATCCCTTTTCTATTAATTGACGAACCTTGAGCAAGTTTTGATCAATATCTTGTACATAGAGAACATAGGTGATCAACTTGGTTTCTGAAAAGCCTGCAATGGCTACGGTGCCCTTTCCTTTGACTGCAATATATTTAGCATTCCTAATTTTGACCTTCTTGGACTCGGTGCCCTTCATAACTCATTGTCATGTGTCATATGATTAGTGCAGCCACTATCAATGAGCCAGTTTTCACTTGCTTTATAACTCATTAAACAAGTTATAACGAAAAGCTGGTCATCTTCTTCTTGATTTGCCACTTGTGTTTCATCTCTTTAATGCTGATCTTTATTCTTGCAAATGACAACTTCATGTCCCATTTGATTGCACTTGCTTCACTTTGCATTTGGACTTCTCCAACATTTGAAAGGAGGATGACCTTTTTTGCCACTATGTTGACATGGAGGGTAATCCTTTTTTACTCCTATTCTTTTATTTTCAGTTTTTCTTTTGTTCTTAGGTATAGAGCTTTGTCCACTTGTAGCTTGAAACTCAATGTTCTTGGTTCTTGGGCCTCCTATTCTTTTTATCATCTTGATGCTTGACTGGTAGAGCTCCTTCGACGGCTCCTTTTTGCCTCATTACACACCTCTGCTCTTGTCATTGTAAAGCACTTAAGAGTTCTATCAAAACAATCTTTGACAGATCCTTCGTGTTTTCTAAGGTGGTGATGGTAGCTTCAAATCTTTCAGGCACTATTACAAGAATTTTCTCAACAATCCTTGAATCTTCCTGAGAAGAACCCAATAATTTAACACGATTTGCTATGTTGAGTAGTCTGTTAGAGTACTTCTTTATGGTTTTTGTCTCCTTCATCTTTTGTGGTTCAAAGTCACGAACCAAGTTTAGCACCTGGATCCCTCGAATTCTTTCGTCTCCTTCATACTCAGTTTTGAGATATTCCCAGACCCCCTTTGTCGTTTTCAATGACATGATACAAGTGAAGATCGTGGAGGAAACTGCAGCAAACAGGCAGGCTTTTGCCTTGGACTTCTTTGTCTTCCTCTCCGTTTGTGCTTTACTTTGTGCTACGATGGGATTGTCAGGGAGAAGAGGAATAGGGAGAAGAGGAATGTTATAGTCTTCTTCCACTGCTTCCCAGAGATCCAAAGCTTCTAGGTATGTCTCCATGCGGACTGCCCAGATCTGGTAGTTATGTCCATCAAACACTGGTGGAGCAACTGAGGAAAAACTAGCTTCAATCTCCATAACTGCTCAAACTCAAGCACAGGTCCCTTAAGACAATTTTTTCTGTGTTTTTTCTGTGCGGACTCCTGACGTAGCTCTACGTGTCGCAGAGGTTATTCCTGAGTTATTTTCAGGTTATTTATGGGTTATTTTTAATAATTCCAAAATAACCCTCGGTCTTTATTTTTGGGTTATTTCTGGGTTATTTCGGGATTATTGAAAATAACCCCGAAATAACCTGAAAATAACTCAGGAATAACCTGCAACGCACGTAGAGGTATATTAGGTGTCCGGACAGAAAATGCGCGCCACTTAAGAAGAGAGCTTAGATACCAAATTGTTGGTTTCTTGAAATGAGAAAGAGAAAAAAAACTAAAATTTCTTGTTGCAGATTGAAGGAAAATGAGAATCACATAATTTTTGTGTAGCCTTACAAATATTTAAAGCTTGGAGCTAATAACAAACCACCAAGAAAAAAAACTTGAAAAACAGCCAAGAAAGAAACAACAAACAAAATTCAAGAAAATAGCAACTAATTCCTAAGATTAAGGAACAAACTTGACTCAATTAAACTTAAACTAAATCAGCAGTCCTAGGCTTGTATTGCAACATAATCATATGAGATACCTTTGAATGATATAATTTGAATTCCTCTTCCCTATTTTCTTTTCTTTCAATTCTAATTTCTCATTCTATTTCCCGTTTTTCAGCCGTCTCAATTTTCATATGGTTAATTAAATAGAAAAAAAAAATGAATCTCTTAAGATTTGTTCCAATAGTTTATCACTCCCTTCCCATTCTGCATAAAAATGTACTGGATTAATAAATGTTTAGGAGATCCATTAACATTTTGTGCAACTTCTGCTGCTCTGAAATATGTTTACTGGTGATCATATTAGCGTTCATGGTTCAAGCAGAACTATCAATGCACTTATTACCACCATTTTTGTGTCAGAATATTGTAGACACTAGTACTTGGATAATTTTTTATCGTCTTAAAAGCTATGTAATTATTTTTTATTATTGCTTTGTTTGATCTGCTTTCTTCTAGAAGAATTGTGAAGCAAAACCGTATGATCTAGTATGTTACCGCTGAGATCTGCATCATATTCAGCTTACAGAATGTTATCAGCTCTAGTAATGAAATTTTTGGAATTTGCATAATCTTATTGCTTTTTTTTTCAGTCCTTAGGTGGATGCAATCGCTGCCAAATGATTAATATTGATCAAGAAAGTGGAGAGATTCAAAAATCAAAGGAGCCTTTAGCAACTCTAGCTTCATATAGACGAGTGCAGGTTCTTATTTCATCTATAAATCGTCATCTATGCATCCTATATATTTTATCCTATATTTCTGAGCTCATTTCCCCAATAAAACAAAATATCATGCATATTTGCCTATTTTCACTATTATGAGGCATTTAAGTTCAAACTTTGAAAGTGTCATAAGTAATATTATTTGGATTTCAAAGTTTCATAGAAGTATTAAATTTGACATGTGAAGTTCTACAAACACTTCGACAAAACGTAACAAGAACCTCGCTAAATCATTTGGTCTACGGGATCATGTTAACTTTCAGCAATGGATCGTGCTTTTTGTCCTTGTAAATCTATACAATTTCATGACAATCACTACTTTAGTGAGCTTCAGTAATGTCACAAGAGAGCATGCTCCTATCTAGTGAGTAATTTAACGTACAAATGGCATTTGAACACATCATTGCAATGGATACAAAATATTTTGCCAAAAATTAAAGAAATATTTGGGAAGCTCTTGAATAAATCTTAAATTTTAACTACCCACCTCATTAGTGAGTTTGAATTTTATATTTTTAATGGTAACTTCAATATGAATTTTTATTTTTTAGAGAGGACGAATGTGCATAAAGCTTGGTGTTATAGGTTTTTCATGCTAATCTGTTGGTTGTAGCTTTTGGCTTGGGTGTTGGATTTGTATGTGCAGCAAGCCTTGGCCTGTTGGTGGTGTGGTCACTGTAAGCCCCTCAGGTCAAGGGTTCGATCCCACCTTGACGCGGGGGCTCTGGAATTTTAAGTACATTGCACGGGCTCTCATCATGGGGCTAAAAAGCGCATGGGAAATCGATATTTGGCCTCTGCAAAATATTGATTTCCTATATAATATATATATTAATGCAGTTACTCATTATGTGAATGTTGGCAGGGGAAGATTTTGTTTGGTGTTCTGTTAAGATATGAAAATCAAATGCCAGAAGACGCTGAAAATGGTACTGAAGAAGAGCATTGGCTTGAAGTGGGGCAGAAGGTCCATCCTTCTCTTGTTATTAGTTCAGAAAGTCTGCAGATGTAAATTAATAATCATAAAATATGCGGCAATTTGACCGTTGGATTGAATTGGATAACAGATGAATTGGAAAATATGTTAAATCCGTTAACATTAATGCCCTTGAAGATGCGGAAATAAATTCCACATGGAAAATGTAACAAATTTTAACTTTTTAATTAGGTGGTAAAGTTGTGGAATTGCAGTGAGAAATGAGCATTTAAAGGTTAAAGGTTATGATATACAGTTTAGATATGCTATTATATGTGACTTGAATAACTGTTAATATTAATTTTAAATTGGATCGATCAATTGACATTTTGTTGCTTCGAAACTAGAGTGGTCATTTTTTATTTTTTATTAATATAATTTTACATGTAAATTCTGGATATTATTTAATTCGTTCAAATGCGTTTCAAATTGAGTTGAATGCGATTTGAAAAATGCGTTTATTTTCATCTATATGATTATGCATTTATATCAACTTCATAATTTTGAATGAGAAATCGCTTATTTTCACGTGCGTTTTTTCATCTCGAAAGTCTGAATAATTAAGATTTTAAATAAACAATCTTGTTTCTTTTGACCCATTTGTATGTATAGTGAAAAATAGCTTTAGTGTAATAATAATATTCACTCCTAGCACAAAAAGCGATATGCCTGTTATAGGAGTTCTGTATTATTTAGCATTTTATATGCTATTTAAAATATGGATCAACCAATTGATTGTAATTTATAATGCAAAATATGGACATTGGGTTTCATTAATTTATTCTATATGCCAAATTCAAGGATAATTAGACGGTTTATAGCAACCTTTTTAAAGTATTTTTATTGGCATTTCGTTAATTGAAATTATTTAATGCATATTAATTTCGCAATGTATCAAAAGGAGGGCTTCATTCTTATATACGTCGGACCTAATAAAATTAGAAAGAATCATTTAAATAGGTCCCACCTAATTCTTGTGTATTTACACATTAAAGGCTTAAATTTATTTATTTTTTATATTTATACCACCAAATTGTTTCATATCACATAAAAAAATATTGCTGTTTTTTACTTTTAAAAAGTGAAATATACATGTTCATGCATAGGTAAGACGTCATATACGTAGAAACGTAGGAATAGGGTGGTCGTATGTAAATCTTCCAATTAAAAATAAAATTCTCTTTTTCATGCTCATTTGTGCATGTTTTCTAAGAAGGTGAAATGTTCCTCTCTAGACCCTCTTTAGTCAAGAGTTGGCCTGTTATTCAAATTTGACAAAATACAGTCCCATTGGATCAAGCCTGACAGGCTATTTATACTCGGCCAGTCCTGATCAAATTGACTGAAAGGGACTGGCCTGCAATATTTGACCAAGTTGTTCCTCTCTTGTCAATGGAGGGTCTTCCTATAAATGAAAAGCAGAAAATGTGTCCTTTCTATAAATATTAATTTTAAAAAAAAATTTGCTCTCTATTTTCAACTCGTCTAGAATGAGGAAAAAATATTATTTCAGGACTCTGACTCCACACGTTACGTGCGAGTCCAATAAAATTACGTCTTGGATGTGATATTCAGGTGTTATTGTTATTATTCTGATTTTATTGTGTGTTATTTAAGTATTATTAATATGTTATTGTGTTATTATAACATCAGAAATATTCACAGAACATAATAACACCTGAATAATATACAATAACACCTGAATAATACGGAATAATACGAGGAAAATATTCCCTTGTGTTACCGGCCTATCACCTCCAGGGCGTAATTTCATTGGAATGAGGGCCCTCACTGCATCAAGAATTTCAAGCTTTGATAAGATTCAACAGAAAAGAATTTTTCGACAAAGATTACAAATATAAAATAATACAAGTTATGTTTTTAATTTAAATATTTAAATTAGAAGAGATGAACTTTAATAAGTTTACCGGATTGTAATGAAAATAATATCCTTATAGAACATAGTGCGGAACCCATTGTTATTTCTTAGAAAATTTACATGCATACCACTCAATTCTAGTGGATGTACAAATCTAAAATTGATACTTCAATTTTTATTTGTATGTCACCTTATTTATGCTAGGAAAGGTGTTTTATTTTTTAAAAGTTAAAATATTGTATTTTTACGTGATATGTAGGATTTAGATGGTATAAATGTAAAATTAAACTTTAGCTGTTACTCATGTAGATGCATAAGAATTGGGTGGTATGTATGTAAATGCCCCTTTTTTTCGGTGATATGAATTAGTGCTGTATTAATAATGATAAAAAAAAGTGTTAGTTTTGGGTTTCGCGGCAAGGAAAAATTATATATGTTTTCTTTTTTTTTTAAAAAAAAAATTTAAATTTTTCAAGAGAAGAGAATCCAGAAGTTTCTTAGAATAATTTATTTATTTATGCTAGATTTGAAGGATCTGATCCTCCATAATTCATTTTGCATGCTTTCTTTTACTTCAAGCAGTTACTATTTCAGCCATCTGCACAAAACATTAGTCATAAATGACATTGATAAACTACATAAATATGTATACTAGAATTTGACATCTACGTGGGAGTGAAAGGAGAAATGTCATGCTTTCTATTCGGCATTTCAGAAGTTATGAGGGCTTACATCCATATAGTGGTGGCATCTGACATCATGATTATGAACAATCAAATTGATATTTGAAAGGCTCCGATTGTAGATGATAGTCTACTTTTGACTAAGATTAGAGTTGGAAGAAGATTAGCTGGTTCAAAGTTCTTCAAGCAAGTGCAAGCTTAAGGGAAGTAAAGAACTTAATTATGTTAATCCACAAGCTCTTACTAGTCATATGAATGGTAAAGATTTGGATCTAAATAGAGAGGCTTCTTCTACAATGCTTACGAGAGGAATGTTGGTTAATGATGAAGACTATCACTATTATATGGAATATTAGAGGAATCGTTAAGTCAATTTCCTTTAATAGGGGTAAAATTTTAATTTGTACTTAAAAATTAAGTTTTCCTGGCATTTTGGAGCCATTGGTTGATGTTGGGAACAACGATAAGCATGTGAGAAAGATAGGTTTCTTCACTTATCTTGCTATTATTAACAATAAGATTTAGTTTTTATGGAAAGATTGTGTGAAGGTTCATATTCTTATCAATAATAAGCAAATGCTACATGTTAAAGTTCATATGTATGATGATTCCTTCCTACTTTCTATTATCTACGCGGGATGCTCTAAGGAGGCTAGGAATGAGCTGTGGTCTTTAATCAAATCCATTGATGCTACGAATGACTCTTGGCTCATGGGGAGAGATTTTAATCTTATAACTTTTGCTGCTGACAAGAAAGATGGTGTTGTGCCTAACCCTAGTCTTATAGCTGATTTTAACGAAACATTTAGAGAGGCTGGTCTCTTTGACTTGGGCTTCCAGGGTAATCATTTTACTTGAAGTACAAGACATGTCTTTGAAAGACTGGACATATACGTGGCTAGTATTTATTGGATAAATAACTTCCTTTTTTTCAAAGTTATTCATTTGGCCATTTCATCTTCGAACCATGCTCCTATTCTTTTACAAATAAGAGATAGTCTCAATGCTCATAAATACAGTTTTCTTGTTTATAATATGTGGCTTCTTCATGATAAATATCATCAATTTATTCAGGATAATTTGAATGTTGTTGGAGGTGGAACGACTGCTGTTCAATTGTGGATGTTAGAAATGAATTTAGCTAAATTGCTAAAAAGTTGGAATTGGAAAGTTTTTGGGAACCTTCACAAGGTTATGAAGGATCATGAAAAAAAAATTGGAATGCCTTGAAACTGGTTATTCTAATAATACTATTATCTGGGATGATTCATTTTGTGAGCAACAAAATTTGAATCATGCAATTAGCATAGAAGAGAGTTTTTATGTTCAAAAAGCTGCTAAATCTCACTTTCAAGATGGTGATCATAATACCGCCTATTATCATGCATGCATTTTTAATCGAAGGAAGAACAATTTGATTACTAAGATTCGTAAGAATGATGGTAGCATTAATCTTGACAACAAGAACATTATTGATGATTAAATCAGTTACTTTCTAATATATTTAATAGTGATGGCTGCTGGCGACTAAAGATTAAATCTAATCATTATAGTATTTTTTCAAGGTTTAATAATGGTCTTCTTACTCATGTGCCTAGTATGGAGGAAATTAAAGATATCTTGTTTAGTATGGACGAAGGTAACGCTGCTGGTCCTGACTGTTTCAATGTTGAATTTTATAAAAATTGTTGGGATGTTATTTATTCTCAACTAATTGGGAGTATTCATGACTTCTTCAAAGGTATTGATTTACCTAATTATTTTAAATCTTTTAATATTGTCTTGATTCCCATTGTGAATAATGCTACTACTTGGGATGCTTTCGGAACATTTAGTATTAGTTATGTTGTATCTAAGGTTATTTCAAAAATTTTGGTTAATGTGTTGTCCTAACCTGATTGCTTTCATTAGAGATAGAAACATTTGTGATAATGCACTTGCTGTTTAAGAGCTCCTTATGGAGCTTGATGAGAAAGGTAGAGGGGGTAATGTGATATTCAAAATGGATATCCGGAAAGCTTTCAATTCTATGGGTTGGGAATTTATTCTTGATAGTCTCAAGGCTATTTGTTTCAATAATGAATTCTTCTTACTCATTCATAAAATTCTTAATAAAAATTTTTACTCTTTACTCATTAATGTCTAAGTGTGGTTTCTTCCAAGCTTCTAAGGGAATCAAGTAGGGCGATCCTCTTTCTCCTTATCTCTTTATTCTTGCTTTTGATTATTTATCTAGGAGCTTAAATTGACTTTATGCTAGTTATTCGAGTATGAATTATGCTCACAAGGGCATGATTAGTATATCCCACTTATGCTTTGTGGATGACTTGATTATGTTGACTAATGCAAACAAAAGATCCATTTTGAGATTATGGAAGAACATTCAGATTTTTAAGGATACTTCGAGTTTGGAATTTAACACTTCTAATTGTTTTTTCTATTGCCCCAATTATACTTCTGCTATTAAGAAAAATTGGATTATGGATACTACAACTTGTCAGAAGGCCTCTCTTTCCTTGACTTATTTGGCTTTTAATTTGAATAAAGAGTTGAGGGGGAATGCTCTTTGATTGAGTTTGTATGAAAAAATTCATTTGGAGGTAGAACAAGTT